CCTCATAGAATTTCATGTACTTTGACTATCAGCAGGCGGATGCGAACTTTTGAAGCTGAGCTGAGGAGTGCATAGCAGCGTGCATACATATGCAAACATACGCACATACATACATGTGCATATGCGGACATGTATGTGTGGGGAAAGAGCAAGAGAGTAAAGAAAATCTTTGTTAAGTTTGTGAAAATGCGAGTTCAATTTGCAAATGAGTTTGACTCTTTTTATCATTATAATCAAATTATAACAACTTATATATACATACATACATGTCAATATACGTATGTAGACACATCTATACACAGATATGTGCATCAAAGCTGCCTATCGAGATGGATAAAAACAAGTCAAGATATTATTAAATATTGATATTTTATAAAAATTACAAGAATGAAGAAATCCAATAAGCCCTATCACCTCACCTACAAATCATGTGTATACCATCTAGATATGATCTAAAGATTAAGCTATTCTTCGTAGGTCTGGCTGATAATATCTATATATATCTACTCCTGTCTAAATAGCCAAATCATTTCTCACGAAACAAAAGTAAATCATTTTTAAGAAAAGCTACAAATGAAAGCATATGAGGATATGATGATATGATGAGGAAACAAGTTACATAGATTTGATCGAGAATAAGGCTAAGTGCGCAGCACTGACCCTAACGCCTCTGTTGCTGAATTGTAGGTAGAGGTTAAAGAGCGGATAAGAACAGGTGTTGATTTGGGCAGCACTAATATGCATGCATATATACAATATACACGCACACACTCACTCGCACATGCCCGACATTTACAGAATAGTTGGATAGAAAGAGAGGGAATCGTAATTCTCTCTCTTGTTGCAACAAGCACTGCCTCTGTATCCACTCAATGTACACCTTGATGTATTTGTCCCGGGCAGAGGAAATGAATAATGAAAAAAAAAAAAAAATAATAATTTCAGTCTAGGCTAGTAACACTTAGTTGCCTTTTGTAGCATAAGCCGAAACAGATAATGTTAAATATGGAAGATATTAATAAAGATGAAGATGCAGATTGAGATGAAGACACAAATACAGATACTGATACAGATTCATAGACATATATACATATGTAGATATGGCTGCAAGCAGCACTTGCTTTAAGCTATGCTCCAGTTATTATTCTATATATACGTAGCACTTCACATCAATTTTTGTCCATTTGTCTTGTTTATATATGTATATATACATATACATACAAATATACATATGTATTGATTTGTAGTAAAGAGAAATGAAAAATTACAAAAGGTGCCGGTAGTGAATTCTTCAAAATGGCTTTAATAAAATTTAAAAAATTATATAAAAAGAAATATTAAAACAAATTACATGTTAGGAATACAAATACAGATACTAAGTAAATTAGTTAGGCCTAAGCAGCGCAAATCAAATCTCAGTTGTGCAAATTGTAGCCTTTAAATCTTTGTATACATCATTAAGACCAAGCTCATGATTTTTTTTTTCGTAATTGTTATACATAGCATAGACTTACATACAAGCGATACAATTGATATGTATTTATATAGATGATATATACATACATATATATATCAGGATTTAGCGACCGACCGAACGACCGACCAATGGAGCATGATGATTTACTATATATATACATATACACATATATAGGGATATAAGCTAAGCACACACATACACACTTTCACATGTACATCCATATATATATAT